CCTTGTAGTGTAGTGGTTAACACATCGGACTAGAATACCGAAGACGTGGGTTCGAATCCTGCCAAGGGCATTTGATATTTTTCTCTTATTCTCTCTACTTCATAATATACACACCGAATGCATAACTTATTACTACTATACAAGCATATCAAAAGTATATCAGAAATTATGGGATATCATCGCTGATATGTTTTTCAGATTGCCTATCACTACTGCTTTCTGAAAAAAATATCAAGAAAGATATCCCATAATTTCTGCATATCGCTGTATATATATATACACCTGCTTGCAAGAACGTTGTCATACGAAAATAGAACATTAGTGATTTAGTGGGATAGGAATTATATTAAAAAACAAAAGAAGATCACTGAAGCTGAACTTTTTCTTTTGTCTTTTAATGTATTTTTTTCTCGCTAAATTACTAATGTTCTATTCTTGTATGACAGCCTTCTTGCAAGTAGGTGTTTACACTTATTTCAATAAAGTTAGTCACTTGAAAAGCTATAAAGCTGAGGCCGACCAGGATTATGCGTAGATTCATTTCACATGTTCAACCGCTTGATAACTGTTCATGGACTTGCCAATCTTTTACCGGTTACAGTCTCACCTCTTCTGAGCATCATCGAGCTGCAGTTTGTATTAAAAAAGCTTTGTATATATATATTTTTTTATATGAAAAGTTTCCCATGATGCTCAGTGATCTCAGCTTTCTAGGTTTTTGGTGACTAACTTTATTGAAATAAGTGTATACAGCGATATGCAGAAATTCTGATCCAACCAAGTATATAGTATATGACTATATCGGGTGCATTACGGGTAATGGACTTGTGGGACTCAAAGTACCAAAGCGTTGGCTGGCGTTTTGTTTAAAGATAAGTTACCTTTCAAAACAAACTCCACTTGTTCCAACCAGAAAAAGAATTTTCACCCTGCCTAGGACTCGACAGTCGGCGTTATTTTCAATATAAACCGCTGTTTATTTTATGCAATTTTGATTAATACAAACGGCTTTAATATAATGATGATTAACATTCAAACTTTCACTCTCGTAAGTGAACTTGTTTTGCATAAAACTGCAAAGCTTTTAATAGCTTGAGCCAAAAGAGAGAGAGAAATAAAAGAAAAAGTAACCACAAAGAATCACTAAGTTATCAGACGAGAAGTGGAATAATATGCCTCTCTTAAGTAAGAATAACTTATGTTTATCTAGAAATTATATTCAGCATGTTCATCAACTGAGATTTGACTGAGTTGATGTTTAATAACAATAACACGGTAGACTACGAATAAAGCAAAATATCCTATCCAGAGTAGCTCATGAACAATATATTTTTGTACCACTTTTGTCATAAGTCATATTACCGACTGTCCTCGGAGTGATTGATTGTTTTAGAAGGGCACATATAAATAAGAGAAGAACGAGTTCAGAATTGAGTTCAGCTCAACCGAAACTTCCAAGAAGAGCAATTCCAGAAGGCTGAATTTAAACTCAACCAATTGCAAAACTTCCAATGTTTCACTTTACATCAATAAAACCGTTTACAATACGACATTTTTTTTCTAATAGTGTAGAGGTTTTAAAAAGTGAACAGATAGTTCCCGCTTCTTGACTTTAGTGCTGTTCATAAACAACACTCAGTACGCCAGCCAACGCTTTGGTACTTAGCTTTGAATCCCGCGGGTCTATTACCCATAATGCACCCGATATAGTTATATACTTTATACTTGGTTGGATCAGAATTTCTGCATATCGCTGTGTATAATTAACGATATCTTAGATGAACCGATAAACTGTAAACTATAACGAAAATGTGGTCATAATACATTTACGAGAAAAAAGGAGGCCAAACATTACAGCCGTTTTCAGTCACAAGTGTCTTGAAAAAAAATGCTCCCCAGACTCGACTTGGCGGACGTCAATCAAAGACATTTCTAGGTAACCGGCCGCTTACAGGCAGCTAGCAGAAAGCGACTTTTCGTTCGTTTCGTGAAGTTCGAATATTCAACTTTGGTAAAGCTTTTGTAAAACATTTTGGTGATGGTGATGGTGATCGTAATTTTGTGGTGGTACATGATGATGACGATGACAATGCTATTTTTAATTCTTACGCTGCGAAAAAATCATTTCAATGGTTAAGTTATTTCAAAACTCTGATTTTGGTGATGGTGATCGTAATTTTGTGGTGGTACATGATGATGACGATGACAATGCTATTTTTAATTCTTACGCTGCGAAAAAATCATTTCGATTAGTAGAAAAAAATTTAGTATGATTATATTGAATTTAAATATTACATCTAGCTTACCTGATCAACAGAAGTTAAGGGTTTGCAGAGCTTAAAAGCTTCAGAGATCACAGGCAGGCCTTAAGAATATAAACATAACCAGTCATTTAATATATAACATAATACAAAATTTAAGAATTTTAAGAAAAACATAAACACACCCCTGATAAGAACGAGGTATTTTGAATACATTATCGCCGGTCATACTTTTGCAAGTGGCGCTGTAAATACTTTTGAGTTGCCCCTAACAACATGCACATTWAACCGGAAAAACTTTGTGAAAAACTTCTGTCGCGCCAAACTCAACTGAGAAGCGGCGTAGTAACGACAAATCACTGTCCTTACTCACACTCGCACATAGCTTTACCATAGGATTATCAATATCGAAAGAAACAAGGAAAGATCGATGCAGGTTGCATCAAATAAAAAAAAAATGGACTTTTAAACTAGAGAAACATACTATAAATGAACATAAGAAGCATAAAAAGGTACGTTTAAATTCCTTGAGAACGAACTAAAAAATATTTCTTTTACGGCTTCAAGATAATTCTTCGGATTTACGCTAGCGTAGAAAAATCAGCGAACAGCGAAATTGTCAGTCATCATACAGACTTGAATAACGACAAGTTGAATAACATTTCTAAACGAGTTTTTATAGAATATCTGCTTATTTCACAGTGTAAGTAAATAGTTTCTAAGTGAATATATTGCATCATGTTAAAAAGTCTAGCCTCCTTTGCAGCCGTTCTTAGGGTCATCACGCAACGTTTCCCTCCCCACAAACGTCCCCGACGAGACGAGAAGGCCAAGATGCAAGAAGTAATTTGATACGCATAATGCAAATTGTCAATGGGACGTAATAAGAATACAGGGAAGTACAAGTAGGAATTAGAGGGTTTTCACGAGTTTGCCATGCGGCAGTTTGATTCGTTTTCACACCACCAGGCTAAATAAATAGCAAACTTTCGTAGAAGTTACTTTTTGCCGAATTTAACGCTGATTCAAAATAGAGAAAGAAAAAAGAAAAATTGGGTGTTCGGAGCTCGTTTTTGAGATATTGAATTGTAAATATTGCCAAGTTTTCAGGTGAAAAATAGGGGAAACCAAGCTTCGCACAAAATAATTCATAACACAAAATCTAAAGATAAGTTATGCAAGGTTGTTTTTTTTTATTTACTTTTTTAAGATTTTTTTTTACTTGAATGTATTTCTGTATGATTTAGCAAGCGTAGCAAGTTTCGTTTTGTAAACGAGACAGTTTTGACTTAGAGTTTTACTGGAAGCTACACGGCTACAGACCAATAGTAATTTTCCCAGGACATCTATTTTAAGAACTATTTTCTTGGAGTAAATTAGTATAAGAAATCGCACGAYCTCGAGTACGATTCGGAATTTATAGGTACGAGTAATGTTTTGAAAGTTTTCAAATTGGACGAGCCATTAAATGAGTTCAATTTGAGAACTTTCAAAACATCACGAGTATCTATAAATTCAGAATTGTACAAGAAGATTGTGCGATTTTTGTTTTATTAATTAACTTAATAAGCCTGAAGCGAGATGACGCTTTACCCCCGACTCTATACCATAATAGTTTTTAAAATTCTTTCATATTAAAATTTTTGATTCCTTAGAGAACACAGGAACAATAGTCATAATTAAAGAACAAAAGCAGTGTGAAAAGGATTATGGTCTAGAGACGGGGGTAAAACGTCATCTCGCTTCAGGCTTATTGGGACTCCACAGAGTACAGATTGGGCTTTAATTGTACTCCTCTTGTCCAATCAGAATAGAGTAATTTTGCAGAGTGTATTATAAGGATGTTTAATTAAAAAAAAAGCTCAGACTTGTTTCCTACACCTTCCAATTTTATATACATTGGGCTCTAAGAGTCTAAGGCTCAGGTCATACATCGAACTTCACATGAGCAGAACCAAATTCAAACAATGGACAACAAGGAGGTATTCTTTGATGTTATTAAGTTCAGCTCAAGTGAAGTTTGACGTTTGACCTGAGCCTAAAAGTAAAGTGAAAATGATTGGATCTTGAAAATACATCTAAACAGCCACAGTTTCTAGAATTTAAACAATATAGACCAACATATAATATACCTTTTTCACCTTGCTTTTTAAGATTTTCGATCTCTATGAAACCTTGCACAACATTTCCTGGACAAGTTTTATCTGCGTCTTGAAAATCCTTTAATTGAAACATTATTTTAACAATTAAGAACACAATATTGACAATGCTGGGTGTCAATATTCATAAAATTTTCAACAAAACCATCTGCAGTACAATTAACAAATGCATTAACCAAGAAAAATAATATCTTCTATGAGCATATGCATGACTTACCTTTGTTACAGCAGGGAAAAAGAAGTCTCTGGTGGTGGTATCTGCTAACATGTATATAGGTGCACTGGCTGCCAAAGCKGCACGTACGATATTAGGATACTTGAATCTTAGATACGCACTCAGCATTCCACCATAGCTAGAACATTAGCAAAGGAAACATACATATAAATAAAAAAGTAATAATTGGCTGTCATATAAAAGGAAAGTCATATGTAACCTTCCAATCGTTTATTAGGTATGATCATGTAGCTTGGCACAATTTGTCTTTAGTTTTAAAAAAACTTTGAATTCACCTTCCTCCAAAGGAAACAACAGCTTTATCTGTGGCATTGAAGTCTTTCTTAAGTTGAGTTAGAAGAACTGCAAAATCAGCAAGCGCTTGTTCTATGGACAAATATCCAATATTTCCGTGCTTGAATGAATCTTGACCAAATGGCAATGATGTCCCATAGTATCTCTGGATTACAAAAAAATTGGTTATGTTAATAATGGTAATAATTGAAATGAGTGGAGTGCAATTTGTATTATTATTATGATTGTCGTTGTTGTTGTCGTTGTTGTTATTGCTATCCGTTTGTTATTGTTATTATTACTATTATAATTATCATTATTCCTTTATTGCACAGCAAAATAAGAATATTATAACTCTTTTTGCTGGTATACATTAACCTTCAGCACAAGATTCTACCCGGCTCCTGAGAGCTGAAGTACTCTTCTTAAGATGTGAGCCGTGCCTAAAAGTACAGATTTCTGTAGGTCTAACAAGCTTATACTATCAAGTTCTAGTCTCTGAACATGATCCTTAAATTGTTTTGATATTGTTCTGAGCGATCCAATGGCTATCGGAACTACCATGGTCTTCACTCTCCACAATCTTTCTATTACTCTTTTTAGGTCTCAGTACTTGTCGATCTTTTCCATTTCCTTTTGATCAATTCGGATGATCCATAGGCACTGAAATGTCAATCAGTTTCGCCTTCTTCTTGCTCTTATCTAAGACGATGATGTCTGGTCTTCTTGCTTCAATCTTCTTATTCGTGTAAACATTATAAAATCCCATAGGATCTTGACCTTTTCGTTTTCCACTACTTTCTCTGGTTCGTGATCCCACCAATATTATCTATAGTGCACTGTATTTGATGTTTTGTATTTATTATCATTATCTTTATTTACAATTTGCTTCAATTTTGCTTACAAAATCCTTAGTTTACCGAGTCCAATCCATGGGCCTTGGGAAAACAAGAATATATTTACAATACGAGGTGTAATTGAAACAAAAAATTAAATAAATCAATTAAAAGGGAAAAAAGAAATCAATAATCAAGTAATCATGAGAGTAAATTTTTCTAATGCTGTGTGCAGTTCCAAGGAGAGCAATCTTCTGTACTTCTGTGATAGAGTTGTCCCCTTTTAAATGGTTGATATATTGTTCTAGTCCTTTGTGAATTAACCCCAGTGCCCCAATGACAATAGGTATGGTTTTTGTT